ATGTACCACAAGCATGGCATGAGTCGACTATTACGTACATAAATACGAGCTTATTACTATACTATCTAAATCATGGAACCGAGGGAATCGATGGCATTTTGGCTTAATCGTTGCACCCTGAGCCTGCGATGACCTAACGCAAACTCCATTTCTCGAGTACGAAAAAAACAGAAAAAGAGGGATTTAAGACACTTAAGCCCGTGGCATCAAGGGAAGAAGTCTCAGTATTTCCTCGTGCTGTCTGTGAGTCTGTCCGTTTGCTCGCATGCCTGTCGATCTGTTTTGGTTGATTTGGCGTCTTCTATAGGAAGACTTAACATGTAATACTTATACATGCATACTTATATGCAAACGTTACGGTTGCCACTGAGTAACTCTACATTCTACACGCAGCAACAACGTTGTGTCAAATTTTCATTATATAGGCCTCAAGTGGCGGTACAACAAGACTATTTGCTACACTTGAGGAAGTGATTGAACTGTTTCAACAGCCTGGTCAAGGATTGCCACACGAACTTAAGGAACCAATAATTACAGAATCAAACAACGTTATCGATTTAGATCACGATTCAGGTTTGGAGCAAATCATTTGGATATATACGCAGATGTAATAGAAATCAGTGGCGTAGCCAGTCCGGCAATTTAGTCCCGCTATGCAAATTAAAAAAATATCATTATTCATTTCTTTAAAAATGGATTGTTTTCACAGTCAATGAACATGAAAATATTTGCATAGCGGGACTAAATCGTCAGGCTGGCTACGTTACTGATATAGAAATGAGTACAAAATATTCACTCGTGTTTGTCTTTTTTATTCTAAACCTAGCTTGTTTCCATTTTGTTGTAACTGTCGTAGCCAAGCCATGTTAAACGGTGTGAAATATAGTCTAGCAGTGGAAGTCAGTCTATAGAGGATATTAGACTGAGTTCAGGCCTGACTGAGATTATATTTCCACTGTATCACATCAGCCATATTCATTTGATATTTTTCCACCGTTACGACAAACTGGAAATGGAAGCTAACCTCCGCTCGAAAGCACTCGACTTCCTAAAGACTATACTCTACATTTGAATTTTGGTATCCATTTTGATCTTTTGTTGCATAATGCATATTTCCTACTCAGGTTTTTGAAATTTATAAAAAATAGCGAATTAGCTAGCGTAACGGATGAACAAACAATCATTAAAATATCTGGGTTGCGCAAAATCTTGCTTCCAACGGGTGGCGCAAAAAATGTACCCCTCTTTGACTTATTCTAATTGAAAAACTAAAGAAGCCATCTTATTCAAATAAAGTGTATTGAACGCAGTATTGTCTAACTTAAATTTTGATGTATGCCTTAAACATTTCTAGAGGATATTAGCCGAGATATACTGTAGACGTTTAAACGCAAGGTAGCGTTTTTGGAAGGAGCGGAAAATGGGAAAAATGGCGACTCAACGAGGTTGTTTGCAAATTGCACGATAGGCGTTGACAAACAATCTAAAGTAAAGTGTTTTTTTCAGATAGGCGGTAAAGTGTTTTTTTTTTCGGATATGCGGTCTTTACATGTTTAAAGATTAAAAGAATAAGGTATCTTTCAAAGCTAGATACCAAGAATACTGTTTATCGTTCGAATAGATTGGGTCCCCATAGGGCATAGGGAATTACGAAGTAACCTACTCAGCAACAATCAAGCAATTTGAGAGAGCTTCGAGAAGCGATTGTTATGGCGTGTAACAACTTGGAGCAGGAAATGATCGAACATGCGTTCGACTGCATGCTTTCCAGCGCACGACATTCAGGGTGGTGGACATGCATTTCCTAATGAATGAGAATTTATTGGACGACAGTGTCAAACATTTGTTCTTACTGTTGCACGTTTTTACCATTTTATTACCATAATGCAAAGTAATAGACTATTTTATACCACTTTTCGCGTGCAAATGCCCATATCTCGGCTAATATTTTATAGAAATGAGCAAGGCATACATCAAATTTTAAGTTAGACATAACTACAGTACCGCCCAAAGGAAACTATACATTTTTTTCGAGCGAGTTTCGAGAATGTTCGAGCGAGAAGCGCGACGCGAAAGCTTGCGAGGGGCGCTATCGCGACCTCTCGCTCGTTACGCGTAATGACTCGCTCGAATAATCTGTTTACTGCTTTCGCTTCGCGTTACGCGAATCGCGCTCGATAAAGGTTATGTTAAAGGCCCATACAGACCGGACGCGATTTGGCAACGCGACGTTTCAGTTTTCAATGAGATTTAACTTTAATATTTTTCAATGTTTCTTAAATATTCGGAACCGAATCGAATCGCGTCCGGTGTGTCTGGAAAGAGCGAAAACTTCATGGCAGCGAACATATGCCTGAATGGAAGTCTCACCTTGTTTTTACTAAACGATTTAGGCACGAGATATTGTTTTAAGACGCCATGGTTTTAAGTTTTATTTGGTTGTCTCGCAGCTCTATCGGTACATAATTATTCACAGATTTTAACCTTAGCGAAGCGTCGAAAATGAATCGCGTTAATTAAATCTTTCAATATTTCAGACCCCATTTACATGGTACCGGACGAATTTCAGTATTTTCCAACTTTAGGAAATACAAAACAAAACCTGAATAGTATAACATCTTAGTTGTGCTCTTAGTTGTGCTCTCAATGATTTTGAAATAAAATTGAAATATTACTGTACTGTATATCGTGTATTCTTGTTGATAACTCAGATATTGAGAGCACAAGACGCTACTATTCGAAGTTTGTTTTGCAATAGAATTACTAACTACCCAAACGTCTATGAAGACTGCGAATTTATAAAACGAGATGATTAAAAACGCATATTTTTATTTTGCATCCACAAGACCACAACCAAACAAGATAGCCGGGTATGGGTATTGTATACACATCGTTTGGTATTACTCAGTTTCAAAACTGAATGGGTGCACCTACAGCTCGGGAAATTGAATTGGAGATTTTAACAAGTATTAATACAGAATTTTTTCTGAAACTATAAACAAAATATAATATTGCTGAAATTATTTTTCACGAGAACAAATTCACGACAGAGGAATATTATTTATTAACCAGAATTCAGAAAGCAATCATTATATTTAATACAAACAAGTTAGTTTTTTTACAGTTTCTCTACACATATTACGGGTACTGTCATTACATATTTACAGTACATGTACTCAGAAATGAGCATTGCTTTGTACTTCTTGCGACCATCAATTCGCACTTCCAGTTCAGCCTGATTGCCTTTGATCAAGACAAGGTCGTCCGGATCCACTATTTTCTCTCGACGTACAATTGACATAGTTTCATCGTCAAAAAAGTAAACCAGATAATACTGAGGAACTTTGGTTAGCATTCGTATTCGCCATAGTTTATCGATAAACAGCACGTTTTGTGATAGCTTTTTGAGTTGTTGATGCTCTCAGTCTCAGAGTTGAAAGGCCAATGGCAATGAAGGGTTATGAAGCAGTGATACACGTGTTTTAATTAAAGATTCAAACAAAATTAATTCATTTGTAAAGTCTGCAATATTGTTTTCAGTGAATGCATTGCGGAAGTGCAATAATTTTAATTAAGAACAAAAAGCCTGTGACAACCTTATTAATTAATGATCTATTAATAACCGACTAATAACAATATTAACTAAAAACAAAGTGTGACAACAAAAATAAAGTATGACGTACGCGAGCGATTTGCATCCGATCAAAATACGTGCGACTTGTATGAAAATGGTCAAGACCCTTTTACTGTAATATTGACCGAGAATAGTAGCAACTAGAATATTGCGTTATTTTGTATTTTACCTATTGCCTGAATAATAAACATAATATTTCTATGTTTACAGTAAGAAAAAACTCAAAACAATGGAGTAGTTTTGATCTGATGATAAATAATTATCAATTATTGGACGAGGTTGAGCAAAATATCGTGATTTGTCGGTGGCGAGCAGATCAATTATTTGCCGATGCCGAAGGCAGAGGCAAATAATTGATCTGCGAGCCACCGACAAATCACGATATTTTGCGAGAATCGAGTTCAATAATTGTTTTATCATTCACTTATAAAGCTTAATTTTATCTTTCGTTTACTATATAAGTTCGCCGTCTCTCTTTCTTGCTTCTGCATAAAAAGTTGCGAAGGACACTGGCAAGAGTTTATTTTGAGCCAACTAGATCGTCTTCGTTGATTTATCTTGCTTCTAAATGCTGGCGAAAGACATTGACTGCGGTTTTAGTCGCTTTTTTATTTTCTGCGTTTTTTTCTTTAAGTAAGCAAGACAACTCATTTTCCGAAAGTTCAGCAAAGCGAGCCGCCATTGTTTACAAAAATTGAAGGCAATGCGCATACTCAGACTATTATTTGCACGCAGTTATTTGCAGGTAAATTAACCAATCAAAATTGAGAATACTATAAAGTGAATGATAATATTATTTATACATGAAATAGTATATAAAATAATATAACCATCAATTGAATAAGCGATTGATATTTTGATGATAATTATAATAAGTCTCAGACTCAGGAAGATCGATCTTGAGGGCGTAATCAGCGTTTTGAAATATTGTAAATTTGGTCAGGTCTGAAATTCCTGACACATGGGTACTTTGCCCATGGTTTAATACTAATACCTGATAAAAACAAGTGGTTATATAATTGTAATTTAGTTTTCGCATAGTTGCAATGTTTTTTATTGAATCTCTAAATACAGTAAGTCGTGAAAGGTTGTGAAAAAGTTTAGCGTATAGTGTTTTGATTTTTATACATAAAATCTATAGTTTGTGATGGTCAATTTGGTCACATTTTAATGACCCTGAGTGATAACATTTTCACTAATATCCAGTTAATGACCCATATAATGAGTTTTCACTGATGTGTTTGTGACGGCATCACAACTGCGATAGCTATACACAGTTCGCTAGTGTTATACAGTTTGCTTCTAAATGTCGATCCACAACGGCCTGAAAGTTCGCAGTACACGTGTTGGCTTTGTTGCCTTCATTGAAAATAAACATATTATAACATTATAAAATACATACTATATTACAATTTACAACTTGAATGAATATAATTGATACATCTATCAACTATATATTGTTTGTATTAATGCCCAGACGCGCGTCCTTCCCATGCTATAACAATAGGAATCACTTCCTTACATGGTTTATATATCTCGCACATTTTTCCGTGGTAACTGTTCCCCAGAAATCAGTTATGCCTTTGATCAATTCTTCTTTAGTTGTGGGTTTTACAGTCTTCTTTACGTGGCTTTAACCTGAGAGCTTGTTCGGTTGTGTGGCGGTTTAGGATTGATATTGTTGTCACACACACACAGTAAGGTTTAGTGTTACATTTTCGCCATTTGCGTGCCGGTTTTGAAATGCAAATTAACCGGATAAAATATGCATACTGTATGCGTTCGTATTTACTTGTGATAGCTCTGTAGGAAACATGCGAAATGACAGAAAGAAACTACGGTTACGGTATGAGTACATTAATTTCCTGTTTAATCAATGGGATGATAAGACTGGTATAGCAGTTTAAAAGAACAAAGTATCAGCATTGGGATGCGTACATAGCAAGTAGCCTTCTTTGTCTCTGGTGTGGTCTATACAGTTGGTATGTCATTCTTATTTAAAATATTTCTGTTTTATTTCCCGTCGATAAATTTATGGTAAATATCTCGTCAGAGACAGAGTCTTCGTCTCTGCGATTTGTTGTTGCAAACGTTAATATATACAAACCCGCCATGTGTAAGGACAAACTACACTCAAATTAAAACGATCGATGTTGAACTTATAAAGTAAACGCATTTAAATCATGAACTTCGCGAATACTCGAATCTCGTTACTCGAAAATCTCTTCGGTTCGCATCGCGACGACTCGAATCGCGCTTCGCGTTTCGCGAAACTCGATAGGTAACGCGATTCGAGAAGCGAGACGCTCGATCCTCGCTCGAATGTTTCTCGCTCGAACGCGAAACGCGCTCGATACTCGATGTATAGTTTCCTTTGGGCGGTACTGTACAGTATGTTTCAATAAATTTTATTTGTATAAGATATATTTTAAGTTTTTAATTACAATGAGTCAAAGCGGGAACATTTTTTTGCGCTACCCGGTGTAAAAGCGTCTATATAAAGCAAGTACTGTACAAGCAATGCATTTTATTTTATGCAGTAACTATACACTAGCATTTCTATATGATCTGTTGGCATCCTCATACCCAGGCTCTTTCCTCGCATAGCCACAATGATCACCATTGATCACCAGAGGGGCAACCAATACATTTGTCATGTCAGCGATATCTGTAGCGATATATCTTTTCGGCATCCCTTGCAGATGATGAAGAAGAGGAGAGAGAAATTATGGATGAGCTTGATGGATTGGTGATCCCAGATTATACAGACTTAAGTTTATCGTTCATAAACAAATTGGCGGAAATGGATTCCTCAGGGTACAATATGTGTTAAGTCGTGTTTACACTACAAGCCTTGGCCTCAGAGCCTCGGCCTGGCCTTGGCCAGGCCAAGGTAAATGTGGCGCGTTTACACCATTACACTATTTTTTTCAGACTGGCTCACTTTGGCCTAGAATTTTGTTATTAATTTTGTGTATTTTTATGTGTTGTGACGTTGTCCGCTGGTTGTCCGCTAATCTCTCACTGTGGACACACGTTGCCATGAAAATAGGGCCCAGGCCAGGGTCGAAAGTGTTTCCATTTTCACAAGGCTAGGCCTAGGCCACCGGTTGTAGTGAGCCCAGATTTCCTGGCCTAGGTCAGGCCAAGGCTAGGCCAAAGTATGTTTACCCTGTCAAAATGTAGGCCAAGGCTAGGCCAAGGCTTGTAGTGTAAACACGACTTTAGTGTATGTCGTATCAGGCCTTGAAGATACGGGAGGGAGGGGGTGTGGCGGCTGATTCAATCGACAGGAAGAATTTTACATGGTTGAAATTAATTAAAACACTTAACAGGCATTACTGTAACTACTGTACCACACATACATGTAAGCGAGAAATAAGGTTGGCAATTCATAAGAACAGATTATATCTGCTTCCTTAGGATAAAACTAGGTTAACAGAAGCCTTAGCAATCAGCTCTTTTTTGGAGATAACATTGCGTGTAGTTGACGGGCTTTTCAGTATCATGGCCTAGAGAGTGCAAACAAACAAGGCCGGTTCCTGCAGATATACGTACTATTCAAAACAACGAGTAGGAGTGTTTTATCAGATATACAGCCGAGCGTTTTATGTCTGATAAAACACTCCTACTCGACTACAAAGAATACTAATTAGTATGAATAATTATATAATCATACTAATTAGGATGAACAATTATATAAAGAATACTAATGAAGATGAGTTTTATCAGATATAAAGTCACTCCACGTGACATATTATGGCTGACATGATTTGTCACAATGTTAAAGTGCCTATGCAACGAAATTTTCACCTCATTTTTTATTGTTTTTCTAAAAAGTACTGCTGGAGTGATGAAGAATGACGTTTACAGTTTCGTCATATCTCATCTCATTCTCAAAAGTTATCGCAATTTCTTTATTTTGAGTTGTGACGTCACAAGTATGAGTTGAGATAATGGCAATAAAAAGAAAGTATGATATCTTGGTGAGTATTTAATAAAATTTAATGAAACTTGGTACACTTAGTGGGTGCAACAAAGTCAACAATTTTGCTTGTCTATGTGGTTGTTATGGCAACACACTCGTCTCCAGTCCCTTCTCTTCCAATTTCTATATGATCCATTTTCAACGAAATAAATAGCAATTTCTGCAATTTTCGCTTATTACTATAATACGTGTAGGTATTGTGATCAGTTTAAACCGTTATAATATGTAAACATCCTCTTGCAAGAGGTCCACGGGAGGAAAGTTGTGAAAGGAAGAGAAGAGACTGGGGACTAGTGTGTTGCCATGACAACCACATGACCTACCAAAAATATTCATATGAGTGCACCCACTAAGTGTACCAAGTTTCATTGAATTTTATTAAATACTCACCAAGATATCATACTTTCTTGTTATTGCCATTATCTCAACTCATACTTGTGACGTCACAACTCAAAATATAGAAAGTGTGATAACTTGAGAACGAGATGAGATATGACGAAACTGTAAACGTCATTCTTCATCACTCCAGCAGTACTTTTTAGAAAAACAATAAAAAATGAGCTGAAAAATTCGTTGCATAGGCACTTTAACGTTTATGAATTATTAATGAGTATTTTAAGTAATATATGCATGTACAAAATCACATGTTTGACACTCAAGGATTTCGAAATTTCCCAGTGTTGTATATTCTTTACAGTGTGTGTCCACATACGTAACTAAAGACGCCACTTGAAAACTAAAAGAATACAAAAACGTGCTATATACCGGGTGTCCCCCCAAAAGCTGGACACTGTTTAATTTCATGCAACGTAAAAGCTATAAAAGCTATCGCAATGAAATAAAGTTATAAAGATCATTGCATTCAGAAAGGACTAACTTACATTTCGATATATGGCACTTGAATTTACATGCAATATTGACTGCGCTATATTGATGTACATGATGTGTGAATGTTGAACTACTGTTTTTGAAAATGCCGAAAATGAGCATAAAACACCTTATATAATTACCGATGTAGTTATACTTGTTAAATAATAAATTTATTTATTTTGGTTGTATCTCGCTCAATATTGCATGTAAATTCAAGTGTTATATATCAAAATCTAAGTTAGTCCTTTCTGAATGCTTTAGTTCATTGCGATAGCTTTTATAGCTTCTACGTTCATGAAATCAAACAGTGTCCAGTTTTATGGGGGACACCCGGTAGTTTCGAACAGTATAACTATAAATGAGAAATTTTAGTCGATGGATTTGACCTGCAGTTGGAGCTTCCATAATGGTGAAAGATTTTCGTGTAGTTCGCTAAATTAATATTAATAAATACTGCTTTTTACCCTGTGTTACTGTCATGCATTTAATGAGCAAACATGCTTTGTGAAGACTTTGCCGTAACGAATAATTTTATTTTCACAAAATACATGAAGATCGACTGGTCACATACTAATTACCCATAAGGAAGTCAGTGATTTAACAGTAAACTGATCGGTTTTCCATGTAGGTTAAGCAATGATTTTTGCGACAATGTGCAAAGCTACCTAAGCGGAGGATTTGACCGTGATGGAGAAAGGATAAATGCATCAAAACCAGCTACTGACCTTCAAGAACTTATTGCCAACTCTGCTCAAGATGTTAGAAGGTATGTCAAATTTTAACGCTGTCAAATTTTAGGGTTGTACGGAGATGTGAATGTTTGACGTTTTTGCCCAACTTTAATAAGGGTATTCGAAGAACAAACATTTGAAGAATCAACATTTTCTTCGCAGAGAACTTAAAGACTTCCTCAAAAGGATTTTGTTTTTACAACAACTGTTATGCACAGACAATGATCTTAGAAAGCTGGTACCGGTATGATCTTAAATTTGTTTACAGTAATCATGAGAAATATGACTTTCAGTAAACAACATATATCTGAAGGCAGTCTCGATATTTACTGTCGTTCCAATTGAAGTGTTCCTCAAATATTGATTCAATACATTACCTCAGGCTGACCAATTCATTTCATCAAGTTCCTCGAGATATTCATACACTTCCTGTGAAAGAGCCAATTCCAAGTATTTGATAATTTCTGGTCACTTCCTTTCTATTTATGATTGCATGGTTAGTTGCACAAACAACAAAGGTGATTGGTGCATTCAAACTATTCAACAGGAAGTTTACAATTATACTAGGAAGTGTATGAATATTTTGAGGAACTTGATCAAATGAATTGGTCAGCCCGAGGTAATGTATTGAATCAATATTTGAGAAACACTTCAATTGGAATGACAGTAAAAATTGCGTAGTCCTCGAAGGTGATACCAAACCTTTACCCAATCTCGTTCTCCGAGCCTGCGATCCTCGGGAAGGAACGTGAGGCTCTGGGATAATTCGTTGCCGGAAGCCAGGAACCCTGACTAAGACCAAACTGCGCATTCCATATCAACGGCCAATCAGATTCCTCCCTGAAACGGATTATCCCAGAGCCTCGCGTTCCTTCCCGAGGATCGCAGACTCGGGGGGAACGAGATTGGCCTTTACCAAGCCTATAATCACATGCATCCTCATACCCAGTCTATTTTCTTTCGCACTCTTGTTGGTAATCACTGAGCCGAAGTGCATGCTATGGGCTTGTAATCACCGAGCCTGGCGACTTGTTGTATATCAGTAGAAATTGTGAAGAAAAACAAGCACAAAATATCAGGAAATGTATTGAAAGGTTACAAAATTCAGCGTGTTTTTCTTTATATACAGCTAGTATATATAGCAGCTGGTGAAGTGCTATACAGTATAATTTATATTATAGTTGCTTGGCTTCTTGACATCAAAACAGTTGCAGAGTCAAAGCAAAAACCAAAAACAATAATACTTCAAAGTAATCAGAAAAAAGTAATTTCTAAAAGGAACATTATATTTAACAAATATAAAACATTTTCCGTGTTGATATACAGTTGTATCAACACGAGTGGATATTGGGAAAACGAGAAATTGTGTGGAAACACGACGCCCGAAGGGCGAAGTGTTTTCACACAATTTCGAGTTTTCCCAATTTCCACGAGTGTTGATATTTAAGAAATAGAAAACATTTTCCGTGTTTCTATAGAGTTATAGAAACACGCGTGAAAGTTTGGGAGAAACGAGAAATTGCGTGGGAACACGAGCACGAAGTGCGAGTGTTTCCACGCAATTTCGAGTTTCTCCCAAACTTTCACTATACAATTACTTTATGGTTTCCGTGTTTGGATGGCCTGATCCAAACACGCGGGAATGTTGCAAGAGTTAAGAAAAGCGAGCGAAATCACGAGCCGAAGGCGAGTGATTTTGCTTGCTTTTCTTAACTCGAGCAACATTCCCAAGTGTTTGGATCAGGCCATCCAAATACGGAAACCATAAAGTAATTGTTTTATAAAATAACAACAACACGATAGTCTCCGTGTTTGGATGGCCTGATCCAAACACGGGTTTCGACCAATCAGAACACGCGTTATATACATGTTATTTTATAATTAACAAATATAAAACATTTTCCGTGTTGATATACAGTTATATCAACACGAGTGGAATTGGGAAAACGAGAAATTGTATGGAAACACGACGCCCGAAGGGCGGAGTGTTTTCATACAATTTCGAGTTTTCCCAACTTCCACGAGTGTTGATATAACTATATATCAATACGGAAAAAAATGTTTTATATTTTTTTTATAATATAGCAATGTCAAAAGCCCGAAGGATAAGAAAAATTTCCGTGTTTACAAGCGGCGGAAAATTTCCCGTGTTGACATTGAGTTATATCAACACGGCTCTTAGCCAATCAGCGTTCAGAATTTACAAATGCTATATTATAAAACTATATATCAATACGGAAAAAATGTTTTATATTTGTTTTATAATATAGCACAAAGAAATATAAAGAAAGAAATGTTCCGACGTTTCCGTGTTGACATTGTGTTATATCAACACGGCTCTTAGCCAATCAGCGTTCAGAATTTACAAATGCTATATTGAAAATTTCTTTCGGAAAATTTCTTTCTTTATATTTCTTTGTGCTATATTATAAAACAAATATAAAACATTTTTTCCGTATTGATATACAGTTATATCAACACTCGTTCATGGAAATTGGGAAAACTCGAAATTGTGTGAAAACACTCCGCCCTTCGCCGGGCGTCGTGTTTCCACACAATTTCTCACTGAACATGACAATATGATGAAGAAAAAGATCGAAGAGTCTACAAACAAAAAAACTAAAGTGGCTGAGTGGTATGGAAAAAGTTTACATGCCTTGAAATTTCGACAGCGAAAAACCATAATTGCATTTGGAACAAGATTTACTTATCGCTTACCTTCGAAAATGTTAATACATGTTAATACTAATATGGTTGTATTGTAGGAAGAAATTGAAAACGATAACAATGCACGATCGAATGTCTCTTCCAAATAGCAACAACTTCTTCCTTTTGTTGCTATTTCCCTGCACATATATTGAGTACACAGATCTGAATTCAGTTTATTAAATGATACGTACAACCATGATGATTATATTGAAGTATAGTCGGCCGGCCAAGGTGGAAAAAGTGCCTCTACAGAGAGTTTGATGGCAACTTTATGTTAGAAGCTGGTAACAGGCATTTTCTTATAGTACAAGCCTTGGTGAATAAGACTGTGGGTGTTACCACTTCTGATTTTTGCCGTATGGCCAAAAATTTGAGAATTTTAAAATTTTGCCTATTAAATTACTATGATGGCAAAAATGTAAAATTTCATGTTCTCTTATACAAAAAATGAACTATACCGCTAGAAAGATCGCAAAAAACTATATATAAGACAATTAAGCGACTAGTGCGATTTTCAAGCCGATTTTGAATTAAAGATAGTTAAAGTTGGCAAAAGGGATACTAATTAGCATTAATTTGGTCATTTCTGCATTTTTTAGCATTAAAAACTCGAAATAGGATTGGAAAATTGTAGAACTCACTTAATTGTCTTATATATTGTTTTTTACGCTCTTTCTAGTGGTATAGTTTATTTTTTGTATAAGAGAACTTGAGATTTTATATTTTTTCCGATCATAGTAATTTAATAGGCAAAATTTAAAAATTCTCAAATTTTTGGCTATAGATCAAAAATCAGAAATGGTAACACATATAGTCTTGTTCACCAAGGCTTGAACTATAAGAAAATGCCTGTTACCAGCTTCTAACATAAAATTGCCATCCAGTTGTACAAAATGATGACTTGGCCAGCCGTCTAGTACATGATCGATCCCAATTACGTGTGAGTGCCCATGCAACAACTATTTCAGTCAGTTCGATTGTTTTTGTCTGACGTGACATTTGAGTCCTGCTAGAGATATGCAGACAAGCCTTAATATATATTATCATTTTATAGGGCGTGTCTGGGTCGTCTGTTCGTCAGGTATGTGTCCTGCAGCTAGATTTCACATTTCTGTATAGTTTCAATAATAATTATTACATTGGTTGTCGATGGAAGACTTTGAATGAATGCCAGTATAAGCGACTTGCACTAAGAAGTCACGTGATATCAATCCTCTTTAAACAGCAGCAAAATAGAATAATATTTTTACTTACGAAAGAGATTCTAACTAATATTCCGGAATATAGGTGTTCAAAGCTTGCACTCTCTTTAATGAAAACGGCGACATTGTAGCAGGTCACGTGTATCTAAACTGAATTTTTTCAGACAATCATGTAAAAACTCAACCTCAAAGAAATCTGTTTAAAGACATGGCGCCCATAGATATCTTATATACACTAGATAGCGCATCTCTTTTAGTAAAATTGAAGCCAAAATATTCCAGAGGTTACCCCCATTTGAATAGATGGCGGTCATGTTGGTACTGTAGTTCCCACTCGCTAATAAACGCTTAAAAACAACAATAACTTTCACCATTTGAATAGTTTAAAAATGTATTTGGAATAGGTTTAACTTAATGTTTAAGTTCCATGTACATACGAATCTTCTCATTTCATGGGAATATCCTGAGTCTCGCAATCACGGCTTCAATTTTTGAATTGCAGAATAATTAGAAGCACTATCTAGTGTATACAAGATATCTATGATTGCGGCGGCCATGTTTTAGCGGTTTTGAAATAAACTTTTATTAAACGAAAGGAAAGTTGAAAAAAAATCACTATCCGGTGGAAAACGCTATGTCCGGCGTTCGTTCAACCGGCCGCAGAACTTTATATTCGGTCTTTTTCCAATTTCCCCAATGCTGTTATATTTAATTTTACTAGTTAAATTTTTATGAAGCGTATAGTTGATCATTAAAACAGTATTTTATGTTTTGTTATTCAGTCAAATGACGTTTGCCATTATGATGATCTTTTGGAAGACTTGGCCAAATGTTTAGCTGGAATAAAATCACTAGGGATGTTGGTAAAAAATATTTCCTTCAGTTGTTGTAAAACTGATTGCTTTCCACATGCTTTACACATACACAATCCTTTGTGCTTTTTGAGTTTTTCTATAGCAAACACTACTGTAATTACTTTAATGATCGTAAGTAAATGGATGCCTTATACTGTATCAGCCCTACACACCATAGCCGTACAGTCACGTTCAGTGATTGCGTTCAGTGATTGCGTTCAGTGATTGCGTTCAGTGATTGTAATTTATTTATTGCATGAAAACGATAACAAACATACACAAATAATATGTTAAATAGATTCTCATGGTATAAGCACGTTGTATATTTCTTAAGTTTCTTGCATTACTGTACGTCAAGTTAGATTAAATTAATTAATGGTGATAATTATTAACTTCTGTAGGCCCAGAAAGCTCACCAAGAACATGCTAGTCTTATTAACGAGCATTCGCAAACGAGAACATTTGAGGTACGCGTTGTCGGTTTATTAAGCCTGGTTTCCATATGGTCGTAACGGTCGTAAAAATTGAGTCACGATCTTTCTCATCAGCATTAATATAATAACATTTTAGAACTGAAAATACGCGGAGTATTTACATTATTAACTAGAGAATATACTTATATAATGTGGTTTACACGTATAAACTATTGTCCCATAAATGAGCTTCAAAAACCGTTTTGATTGGTCGACAGCCTGCCGGAATGATTTGATACCTGCCAGATTTGATACCCACCTGCTAGATTTGATACCCACCTGCGATAAGCAATCTCATTGGCTAATGACTTTGTCACCTTTTGTTAATGCTGCCATGACGTATTAGCAAAAAGTTCAAAGTTCATGAGATTCAAAATGGCGTCAGTGTATATTTGTCAATAAAACAACACGATGACTTTAAATCAAGATGAAACCCCTTCGGTAAGATGTTATAACAGTTTATATATTTTGTAAAGTTTTGTTTATGGCACAAAAACGTTACGACATGATTTTTCGGTAAACCGCAATAGACCTTATGCATAATGACGTCACAAGGCTTGATGCCCGCGAGGAATGTTGGTCTTAGTAGTCATCGCCCGGGAAAATTTCGATAGTGGATATCAATTTTCCATTGGATATCAATTGCGGTTTACCTCAAAATCATGTCGTAACTTATATTATAAACTGGCCGTTGAGAAAGAGCGTGACTCCTGTATTTTACGACTATTACGACCATATGGAAACCAGGCTTTACATGTTATACAGTGTATATATGCATATTATTTACTACTTTCTGAGGTTATGACTATTACTATATTCTTATTGGTTTATTTTCAGGTCACAAGCTGTGGTAATTTCAAGACGAGATCGTATCTAAAAGTTGACATTACTGAAGGTAGCACTACTTAGTTACTATTTTCTTCTCACACACTTTCCGTACCAGGAAAGTATAATATTTTGCACAGAATCTGTAATCTGTATTATATATGGCTACCAGCATATTGTTATCATCCTTTACACCTGCAGTTGGTTTAATTTTACACCTCATGGCTGTTATTGACTGCGTAATTAATACACTGTTCCGGAAAGTGCTCAGTCTCGGCTATAGAGCCTCGTTTTGGTGATTGAGATAATTATTGGGTATAATTATTATACCAAATATTTATCTCAATATTAAACATATTAACAATATTAACAATATTAACAGTTAGCTAGTACCTTCTTTTTGTAACCTTATCCCTTTCTTTAGTAGTTACAGGTGACACATTTACGAAACCATATAGGGTTATATCAGTGAATATATAAAAAGACCTGTTTATAAATTTTCTAATCAGTAACGATATAAAGGGCTCTTATTTACTTCTTAAATTTCAGTTTAAAAACAAACTTAAAATAATCTATTGAATCCGTATTAGCTTATAGCATCAAGATCGTCCATTTTGAAATTTTGAAATCTGCATGTGTTTTATTTATTCAGTTTACCCACTAAAATATATTTGTCACTAATCAAATTCGCTAACTGTCTTGTTTGGCCTTTTGGTTATTACAGTTCGCTAGTACTTTCTTTTTGTAACTTTATCCTAATTTTATATTTATGTATATGTATTATTAACGGTACTGAATAAATTGTCTTGCCTTATCAATGCCTCAAACACGAAAACGAGGCTTTATTGTACTTTCCAGAAGGGTGTATTAAACTGGTCATGTACAGTATATGGAATAATGGATCATACCTATATATATATATATATATATATATATATATATATATATATATATATATATATATATATATATATATATATATATATATATATATATATATATATATATATATATATATATATATATATATATATATAGGTATGATCCATTATTCCATATACTGTACATGACCAGTTTAATACACCCTTCTGGAAAGTACAATAAAGCCTCGTTTTCGTGTTTGATGCATTGATAAGGCAAGACAATTTATATACATAAATTACCTGACTTTCAGTGTCATAGTGCTAACGCTTCGCATAAATTAAGGTGTTGCCGTTTGCGCTTTATGTTATACCCAACATAAAAGTGGTTTTGAAAACAAAAGAAAATACTTTGTCATCTTCATTCAGCGTGGCTGCGATGACGTAAGGTGAAAACGACCTATACAGTATTCTTTGTTTGCGCATGACGTTACTACGTGTCATTAGGCGCCATCTTGGTTGATTTTAAAGTTTTGTCCAGCCGTTTACATCGAAATAGTTGAGTTATTTTAATATTTTTGGTTTGTTTTGAAAATATCTTACTGTATTATGGATAGTTTACGATTTCTGGCACAATACGACAAAGAATGAAGAATATAGATTTTTAGTTACCACGAAAATCAACCAAGATGGCGTCGATTGTAAACGAGCAATACGTACACTGTTGCATATACAGTTAATCTCTATATGTGTTGGCCAATCTCGTGCACTACAGTAATTATTATATATTTGAATTGTGCAGGAAAACTGTGGTTTATGAAGAACGAGAAGGACTCCATTGATGATTCTACTATAGTGGAGCATGATAAAAGTACGAATATACTATTTAGTTTGACTTAGATATGTAACTATTATTGACCGAAGTGGAGGTGAATAGTGCAATGATATTCACCGAAACACGAAGCGTTGAGGTGAATATCCTTGCAATATTCACCGACATGCATGTTTCGGCGTCCAACGCCTCGTCAGTGCAGCTTGGTACACGTCTAGATACATGATGCCTCCGTATTTATGCACATGAGCGTGCTCTCACCAAGCGCATGTGCTACAACACGAAGGTACTGACGCATCCAGACGTGTGTGGGGCCAGAGTACTCAAACAACCACAAGGGAAGTTTTACGCTGATATTATTGTAGTTTCCTATTTGTCGAGTGTTTAGTTGTTTTTGCTTTAACAGTATATGTGAATTTTCCTTTGCGTAATCTTAAAAAAATGTGCAGTCGTCGAGATGGGATAGCAACGCCTCGACGAACTATAGGCTACTTATAGGAATATAGGTCGTATGTTTGTGTTCTCTTCAATCTCAGTACTATTTCTACTGAAAGCATGCATCACGAAGGCGTTTATTGTTTAGTAGTTGGTACTATAGTGTTCAAAAACGAAGCGATCACCCAGGTTTTAAGTACATTCAACGCATGATGACGCATTCATTTTTACTTTCTTAATGTTTAATAACAACAACTGTACTTATTACGTAATAATTGCATTTTTTATTCTAACTTTATAGTTTTACAGTTGGTGAAGGATCCAGATACGTCGAAGCTGACACTCAAGATAGCCAAAGGGAATAGAGAATATTTGTTCAAAGATATTCAGGTATATATATTCATTTTTTATCTTGTACCCAGAGTACTTTATAATATTGAACTGTCTGTGCCAGTGTAGGTAGTGTCAATAATAAAATATCAAGCTTTCGTTGGTATAGGAATGCAACTATACCTGAAAATACATGGAAAATTTCGGAGCGCATTAAGGCCCTGCGTCTGGAGTTAGTAGCGGGGGTCAGAAAAATTACATGAGCTTTTATATACTAAGAATTTAAAAGCGATCACGTGGCAATAAATAAACCAATCAGATTGATTTACAAAAGTTTCTGCATGGCTGTGGACGAAAAGTTTTCATGATGGAATGAGCCAACAAGTCAATTTGGGTCGCATAAAATCAAGGTCAGAGCCTTGCCCTGCTGGTGTACCCCAAGGACTCAGTCTCGGGACACATAGAGGTTAGTTCCTGCAAATATGCAGACGATTGTACACAGTTTAATATTGTCCAGGAAGATGATAGCAGCAATCTTCAAGAAGCTTTGGACGCTGCATGTGAATGATTGGGCAGTCTCAATTCTAAAAAAGTAAAGATATGTGGATATTGAACCTATTAAACGCTATTGAACCTCCAGTATATGCATCGCTCAGTCTTGGCAACGATGCATGTCATTGAAAGGGTTACTTCATTTAAACTACTCGGAGTATGGCACCAAAATAATTTAAAATGAATGGACTCGGCACATAGACGAAATTACAAAAAGAGCAAGCAAAATGCTTTATTACTTAAGAGAGTGCAGGCGAGCTACATTGCCTGCTGAGGTTGGTACGTATTACGTGTTACTTAACAAAGATTAGACCACTGTTGGAATATGGTGCCCCATTATATGGGGTGGAGTTCCGGACTATCCAGTTAATGAATTGGAAAGCATTCAAAGAAGGAGTTTGGATATCATTGGTCTTCCACGTGACTTTCTGAGGAAGAAGGAAAACAACAGCATGCTCGAGAATTAAAGGATGATGTTAATCACCCATGTAATATATTGATTTTATCATATACGAGACTACGAGTATAGCATTTTGGCGGTTGTGGACGGTGTGCGTGATAGGGAAAGCAGTCATTAAATTTTAATATAGCTTGCTCGATACATAAACAACCTTAACAGCTTCAAATTACTCTATAGTACTTCATTCACGAGTTCAGAATTTCAAATAGGATCTCATGTCGTTGTCTTATCGTTGTTTGTTTCAATTTGTGGCCTGTTAATTTGTTTATCTATTTATTAGTATGTCTAATATCTGTCACGCCATAGTGTAAATTATTGTTATGTTTATGTATGTTGTGGAACCCCGTTATTGGAGATTTTATCTCTGTGTGGTCATTCCAGCCATTGTGTGTAATTTATAGTTAGTTTATATCTTTAATAATGGCAAATTTGTAAATAAATAATAATAATAAATAATCATAATAGTTCTGGTCACATTTGTAAACTTATTGTACTTTTTAACTTAAAATAGGTATTGAAGATTATTATTATAACATTATCACGTTACACCTATTCAGTTCTCTTTTATAATCGTTATAGGTATGCAGGGCTCTCATAAGTGCTGTACTAAATAAAACACGCGTTTATCATACTCATTTAAAATGCGAATGCGCAGCACGAGCATTTAGATATCAATGATAAAACACTACAAGTGTTTTGAATAGCTTCCGACACGACTATACAATATATGCCGTTTCATTAGTATTCTTTATTCTATATAAAGAATACTAATGGGATGAGTTTTATTAGGTTTAAAGCTTGACATAGTATGGTTGACATGATTTGCCAATACGCTTATTAATTATTAATGAGTGTTGTAAATTCATAACTTTAGAATCTGCAGAAATTTCATTGTTAAAACGTCTGGATTTTATAGGGAGAGTTTAAAATATGCCTGCACAAATTCAATGCTCGCACACTCGTGCATTTAATGGTAATGCCATTACCTGGTTATAGTATAATCCGGCAAAACGTAATGCCCTATTTACAAACATGATGTATATGGATGGGAAATATCTGAGTAGCGCTATTTCACCTTTGTTTTACAACAAATTATTTTCCTGTCCCAAATCTGGGCGGTCGCCTGACCTGTAGTTTTTATCAGTCACCATACAGTCATGTATTTTTCCAGGCTCGAGAGCATCTATGCCAGCTCGTCCAGCATATGATGAACACACACGATCCAACCAAAAAGGAACTTAAACAGATATCTATATTTGTTGGCACGTGGAATATGGGTGAGAGTTTTTCCTCTATTCTCGGGAAGGTATTTATAATACTTAGAAGGCATTTATAATTTTTATATATGTTAATCACCGTAGGTAAGTATTTTTTAGTGAACAGGAAAAGTTGAGACTGAGTCGGATTCGAACCGGCGACCTCTGGGTTACAAGCCCATCGCTCTACCAACTGAGCTATCAGCCCGACGGAAATGAATGATAGAAATGTATATATTACAGTAATTATTGCGAATAGATAGGTTGACGTGACGTGATTACGATAGATAAATTAGTCTCTCTAAGTGGGTATATATACAAATATACATTACGAATGGAGGGGTTGGCGTGACTTAATAGATCGATTTTCTCCAAGAAACAATTCAGGTTCAAAAGAACGACAATTAGTAATATCAAAAATCCAGTCCCTTAGGTCTTAAAATAGGCCATAAAATGTTTTGACTAATTGACCCATGGCTGTATAGTTGCTTATAATATGGGGGGCACTGAATGGTGTTCATCATTTCACATTCCGAGTGGCGGCTGGTTTCATCCTTCCAAGTTAGAATTCTTCCTCTTATCCGTTTGGCGTAACATTTCAGCCCTATCCTTAACTTTAACCTCAGAAAACTGGTCCTTAACCAACTTTTTGTTAAATCCTCTCTTTATAAAATGACCTTCCATTTCTTTAAGCCTATCCTGAAAAACTTTGTCCGAACTACAAATCCGTTTTAATCTTAGCGCCTGACCATAGGGGATTGCCTTCTTCACATGTGCAGGATGACAAGACTTGAAGTCTAAGTATTGATGTGTATCAGTCGGTTTTGAATACACATCCGTTTGCAATTTACCAGACTCCAACTTCACCCGCACATCCAAATAAGACACCCCCCTTTTCGAATATTCCCATGTATATTTGTTTCATGATAATTGTTAATATAATTTAAAAATTCCAACAGGGATTCTTTACCATGAAGCCAAATAAAAAATATATCATCCAAAAATCTGAACCATACTGAAGGACTCAAGTGATACCCCGCCAACATTTTATTTTCCAGTTCTGCCATAAAAATATTTGCAAACGCTGGAGCAAATTTTGTGCCAATGGCTGTCCCTAACTTTTGTTTATACACTTTTTCACTGAATTCAAAATAATTGTTATCTAATATAATTTTGGCTAAATCAATCAAATCATCTACAGAAAGTCCCTCTCCTTTATCCATACTACATTTTTTTCTGAAATCCTCAATACTTTTTCTCATACTGGACAGACCTTCCAAATGAGGAATATGCGGGTACAGTCCCACAACATCCATTGTGCACAAGATCGCTCCCTCTGGAATATCACCCAAATCCTGCAGCCTTTTCAAAAAATCCGTGGTATCCCTTATAACATTGGGCAGACTCTTAACAATAGGTTGTAAATAGTGATCGACTAATTCCGACAAACCCTCCGTCGGTGTCCCACAGTTAGATATAACTGGACGACCTGGGACATCAACTAGCCGTTTGTGAATTTTTGGAAGTAAATAGAATCTGCCCAATTTATTATTCGTACCCCTTAGATAATTAAAATTCTTTTCGCTAATAACCCCCTTTCCTTTCAAATTCTCTAATTTATTCCGAACTATTTCTGAAACCTTTGCTAGTGGATTTCCTTCTTCCGATACATTTTCGTAAACTAAAACATCAGCCAATTGTCTATTAGCTTCCTTACAATAATCCTCTAATCCCCAAACCACTACCGCAGACCCCTTATCAGCCCCTTTTATTACTATATCCCTATATCCCTTTAAATTCTTAAAAGCTTCTCGCTCTTCCGCACTCAAATTACTAAAATTATGACCCCTTTCCTTAATAGCCAATACCTTATCTTGCAAGGCATTCAAAAATGTTTCTAATGCTGGGTCCACTTTACTCGGGTACCATGTAGACTTTTCTCTAAACTTACTTAATCCCTCTACATCAATTTCACTTAAGGGTTTATCTTTAAAGTATGCTCTATACATTTAATTTTCCTCGAGAATTCAGCTAAATCTTGCGCTAGTTTATGTTTATCAATCTCTTGCTGTGGGACAAAAATTAAGTCCTTTTGACAGCACTTTAACTTCCGCATGCGATAGATTTCTAGTTGACAAATTAACTACATTTTCACTAACAAAAACTTGATTTACATCTGATCTCACCCTGCTTGGTTCCGCTTCATTACAGTCCAGCAATTCGTCCTCGATCGCTAATTCTAGCATCTGATTTTGCACGCTTTGTATGTCCTCGGCATCTTCTGAACCGTTCTCTCTTCTACCTTGACTTAATTGACTCTCTCGATCTTCATTAAATAACTATTAAATAATATTTTAACTAAAGGAAGTGCTTCACCACAAAAGATAGAGTCATGGTTGACATGCAGTGGTACTGGAGAAACGATAAATGATTTAAAGATCATGGAAGTCGTAGGTCATGATATTTACGCAATTGGGACGCAGGTGAGTGCAAAATCGGTCCAATGATTAAGGACGGTCAGTATTCGGGACGTTAACGATATATATACAAGTAGTTCTCATCCCCACATACGATACACAATACTGTAAGTACTTTCATATATTTAGTCTATATTTATTTATAACAGTACAGCTGTAGGTAATAATACCGTAATAATAATAGGCCCTATAACTAAATACATGTAGTAATATACTATATAACTATGAATGTAAATATAAGAGTATACTAACTATATATTTATAATTTAAAACAAAGAAAAGGCACTTCAGACAGCAAGGACTAAAAAATGTTCATGCTGTGCCGTGTTCAATTCGCAGTACTTGGCTATTTTAGTGTTAGAAACAAAAATTCTTCCTCACTTGTTAATTTCTGTAGGAAAGTTCGGTCGGTGAAGCAACGTGGATTTCGAAGATAAAGATGGAGCTGAAGAAGCAATTTAAAATAGACTATTATACGGTTAGTGTTGTGTTTCTTACAGTTATGCATGCTGTATGTCTGTATTGCATTGCGTTATATTGCCAAAATACTCAGGTTTCACTATTTCACTAATTACGCGTTGGATTTTGTTGGGCCAGCCGAAAATCCAACTCAAGTACACTATAGACCCATTGCACATGGCGTCACAGCGCCGGTGACGATGCATCTGGAGGACAAATTAGCAATCTATGCATAGTATAACTTTTGTAAACAAAGCAAATGTTGTAAAAGTTTATAATAATTTTGTATTGAAATTGTTAATTTTTGCGCTGTATGTGGTTGTTGTACCCGAACAGATATTGTTAGGGAGCATCTGGAGGACACTCTAAGGATTTGTGACGTCAGTGCAATGGTCTATTCCTAAAGCATGGCTCATATATAATGGCTATATATACAGTCAATTTTGCTAGAGTGATCACACTTATAGAGGTATCCTACCAGGTGATCTCGGAAAAGGCCTATCACTAGTTGTAAAATAGAAATCCATTTCTGGTTTAAAATTACTCAATATCTCATCAACGATATTAGATTTCCATTTCAAATTTGTCCCAAACATTCATTTCCTTGTGCAAGACACAGACACAAAGTTTCAAACAGTTTCACAAACGAATCAGGGCGTGACAAGTGATTAAAGGTACGAAAATGGATTTCTATTCTATTGCTAGTCCCAGTCCTTTGCCCACCGTCAAATCACCTGATATACTGAATGCCGAAACAAAAAATAAAAGAAAGCCTGAACAATGTACCGAACCATCAGTACCGCACAGTAATGTACTGAACAGTGCAATGCAGTACTGTACAATGCAGTAGATTAAGTATATAATCGATAAGAGCAGTGTACCGAGTCGACGGTACATCCCACTATCTTTGAAAATCTATACTCTCAACTCTATACTCGTAATATTAATATCAACAATAAAATCACACCCCAAATCACAACAGAACTAGAACAGAACGTATCTAGGTAATACGCATGTCTAGGTAGGTATCACACTAAAAATACGTTGTCCGGCGTGTAATCTGTTCGTAGAGACCGTTCAGTAGGGCCGCCGAAAGGTTGTGCGGAACCCGAGGCAAAACTTTCCCAGAGGCTCCTTTGACGGCATAATTAATTGTAAAACAGGAGAAGCGATAATTGTTTTTGTTTGTGGAAACACCACGTAAATTTATTACTGCAAAGCTTTCGATCCGTAAGCCCGGATCTTCATCAGTGCTAATAATATGTGACTTGTTTAATTCACACGCTCTTTTTATATACAAGCACAGAATAGGAAGTTATACCAGAAGCGTAACTCAAGCAAATATTTGTCCACGTTTTTACAAGCGATTCGTCATCAATCACGCCATCCTGGCTAGTACAACCGGCACTTTGTACCTAGCAAAACCTGATAAAAACTTCCGGTTGTACTA